TACTGGGAAGTGAATCTGGGTCCACTCCAAGAACAACAAATGCTCTTATTTGCTGACTCTCTACCCCACCTTAAATGATTTTTAATGAAACTCGTCAGCAAGCAGCCATTTTTAAAAAAAAATCAAACATTCTAGTACAATATAATGTAAAGATATACTAATTTGATATTTACATACAATGACAATAAAAGTAGGAACACATTAAGTCTTTTTTTCCTTTTTTATTGTTTCCTGTTTCTGTTTATATATATGTTGTGTATATATTCTGGGATGCATTTGTGTGCACATCTGCAGAAAACAGAGATTAACCTCAAGAATCATTTCTCAGATGCCATCCACTTTGTTTATTCAGACAGGGTTTCTCACTAACATAGAGCCCACTGAATAGACCAGGACCTAGGGAACTACCTATCTATTTCTCCTCAGGTCTAGGATTATAGAAATATGCTACCATGCCAGAATTTTTGCATAGATGCTGGGTGCTGAACTCAGGTCTTCATATTGGCATGGTATGAACTTTACCTACTGAGCCATCTCCCCAGATCCTTCAAAATCTTTGTTTTCTATTAGGAAACCAGTATGCTTCAATGTCTGCACGTGTTTCTAACAGAAAACTGTGTATGTGCAATAAACCACTAATTTATAGTGGACAACAGTCTCTGGTCAATTTCTGCTATGGAGTTTCAGGCAGATTCACTCGAGCTATATGATGTGACAGTACACTCAATGCACACCATGTTATACTCCATGATGTGACAGCACACTGAGTGCACACTGCATGTTACGTTCAGAGTCCACACAGAAATCACACAGTGTGACATGGAACAACACTATCAGAAATACCTCAGGTATGTCATACATTTCAATTCATTTTTAGTTTGTTCAGCATTTGGAAACTTTGCTGTTTCCATTTCTTTTATAAACCCCACATTTTATAAACCCACACATGGAGTCACAACCCTCTATCTAAGAAGCTGTGGCACAAAACACTTCATGGGTTGTTGTGTTACTTTGCCTACATTGCTAATAAAAAAAAAAAAAAGTACCATGAAGTGAGAGGCTTGGAAAACAGAAGTTTATCTCATAGTTCTATAGGCTAGATGCTCAAGATCACAGTGTAAGTAAGGCATTCCCCTCCACAGGTTCGAGGGGATGCTGCGCTCCAGGCCTCTCTCCAGCTGCTGGTAGTTTCCTGGCATTCTGTATCTGTATCTCTTTCATACTAGACAAAACATCAAGTGTAACCCAGTATCACCTCATCTTAAATAATTACATCTTCATACATATAATATGAAGACTGTAGTCAATTATTGAATTAAAAAATATGAATTACTGAATTCAATAAACACAGTTCTATTTCTCAATAAAATAGAATTCTTAGTCTTGGGGGGGTGACTTTACTTGCACCATCATGCTAGCAAGAAGAAAGGAAACTACAATGAAAGAGGAGAGAGGGAAGAGGGTGATGATGAGAGAGGGGAAGAGGGAGCTAGAGGTAAGAAAAGGAGGAGATGGAGATTTAAACTCCATGAAGTCACCTGATGATGGAGGACAGAACTGACATGGGCAGCTGGAGAGTAGACAAGGGGCTCAGAAAAGTTACCCAAATTACCTCTAATATCCCAAAGGAAAAGGAAAGACAAAGTCTTCTGGCTAGGTACTCATTATCTTTAATAGGAAGCTCTAAACTCCAACATCTCCATCAGAGCAACTGCTTTCCCTCAGACTCCATCCAGACATATAAGCCACTCCTCTGCAGAGCCAATCAGGACTTAAAACCCTTATAGACTCTTCTCAACTCTGAGCAAGAGCTATCTGCCAACCTCTCCCACTACCTTCAAAGTCAGAGATGAAGCCTCAATCACCCTGGTTTCCATAGAAAAATCAAACTATTAGTGATATCTCACTCATGACATATAGCTAGATAAGCACAGTCCAAAGATTCATTAATAACTGCTAGCCCATTGGTTGTAGGACTGTTAGGAGACCCCAAGAACTGTGATAAGACACAAAGCTGTCTCCATAAGAGAAATCCAGCTAAATGGTCTTCATTCTTTTTTTAAGCTACAAGTCTGTGGTTATACAAATATAAATAGATCATAAGTATAAAGATTATACAAAAGAGCACAATATTCTTCACATTGTGATAATTAAAAATAAAGAAGTAATCCTACACAACCAGTTCTTTACCAAATACCCATAGGTACACATATACACACAGGCACATTTTCTTTTAAAATAGCACCACAATCTCATCTCCTTGATACAAAACCAATAGCCTTACTAGATCATTGTATTAAAAATATTGTTTCTAATTAAAACATTTGGTATAGGCTTTTGTTAAGTATTATTAGCTGAAATCCAGTAGCTTTAGCAGCCTTGCATAGAAAAAAATAAACTATTTTGCTATCTCCTTACATAAGGTCCTTCTAAGGGAAACGAGTCTACTAATATTAACTAATAGACTTCATTTTAAGTAGAAATATTCTTATGTATGGCCACATTTATTCAAGTTTTAAGTCAGTATCACAGACTGCGAAACTGCAATTCTTATACTCAGCATTGGTTGATTGGTTGTAGGTTTGTCATCCAAAAGTGCTACTTCCCTCTCAGTGGTTGGAAATCTTTTCTTATATATCAAGAGGTATTCCTTCTGAAACTGTCTCAGCTTTCTTCTTTTCTCCTTTAGAGACAAGCTTTTACTTCTAAATGTTCTTCATTCTTACCACTCAATTCATAATCTTGCTATCTACCTTTAAGAATCAATAAATGATTTGCTTGCCAATAAATCTATCTTCCTTTATGTGCTGTTTGAATCCCCTGACCACTTGATAAGAGCAAGATAAGGTAAACAGCTCCTCTTGCAGAATTTCCTTTTCAAATCTATAATTTTATACTGGTACATTCTAGGAACTAGCAAAGGAAAATCAGAAAATACAATGAAGAATCAAGAGACCCAGGTTGAAACATCAAAGGTGCTTCTAACTGGAATCACATGGGACAAGTCACTGAACAATTTACATGAGCAAATGTTAAGGAGTCAGCCAGGGGAGCCATAATTCACCTAACAGAGCATAGGCATCCAAGTCCTTCCCATGTGTCAAGTGATTAGCATTAACGTGACTTGAAAAACTGTCTCATTAGTCTTCAGGGATTCCTGGCTAAAACAGTCCTACTGTTTTATACAAACACATGGAACACCCTCAAAAGTGAATATACATAGTATAGGCATTATTTATTGGAATACTCATATAGAACACTGAAATTAAATATAGAAAGCAATGCAAGCTATGAAGATAAGAGCAAGCAGACAGTGATGTAAATAAACACTGAAAGCAACTGGACATAGAAATAGAAGACTGCAAGACAACTGTGCCAGCTCTAAAAGTGAGTTAGGAGACCTTCTCCTATCCAAAATCACTTATGTGGGTAGCAAAACAGACTCACAAAGAAATGTCCTGATCAATTAAGTTATCCAGAGTACAAATGTGAAATGAACCTAGAATCTAAGTACTTGGTTTCTTCTACTGCTATTTCTGTTTTGTGAGCAAATCAAGTCATATTTATAAACAACATGGGAGGCAATACATCTTTTTAATATATATTTTTATTAATTCTTTGAGAATTTTATTTACTATATTTGAAAGCATTCATTAAAGATCAAAAGAAAAAAGATGGTTTCAAGAGACTGTAAGTCCATATCGGAGAAAAGGAGGAAACCAGTGGAAGGGAAGATGAGAGCTGCCAGAAGAGGGTGTGATTAAAGCATATATTCACATGAATGAAAATATCATAGTGAGACACATAGTTTTGAATAATCAATATATGCTAATATAAAATTAAAGAACACTATAAACATACTATTTTTAATATTGTACTCAGAAACCACAGAACTATGACTAGGGAGATGGCTCAGTCAGTATGGGGACCTGAGTTTAATCCCCAAAACCATGCAGAAAAGCCCAGCATAGTAATATATCTTTGTGATACCAATGCTGGGGAAGCAGAGACAAGTGGATCCCTATGGCTCATTGGCCAGTCACTGTAGCTGGATTGATGAGTCCCTAAACCCACTGAGAAATATTCTCTAAAACACCAAACAAACAATAACAGTGATGGCTCCGGAGGACCATCTGAGATTGATTACATATAGTACACACATACACATACACATACACACACACACACACACACACACACACACACACACACACACGGGGGGGGGGGAGAGACCAAAAAGCTAGAACAGAGGGGACAAGAGTGTAAACTCAGGATATGACTGCTGAACTTTAATTCTACAAGGGTCAGTTTGTAGAGTGAGAAATGGCAGTCAGCAAAGGATCTGCCACATTCTTGCTTCAATTTGAGTAAGCAAATGTTGAAGACAAAGATCCCCAACACAGTAATCTACTTTTTTAAAATACTCTTCAGCGTTTAAGTACCCTAGTTCATGACTCAATAGTACACTGAAAGGCTAAACTGCATGCACCATTCTACCCTCTAGGAAATCTGTTCTTCTGCTTCAAGACATAGTTGTTATTAATAACCACAAAATGAATTTTTGGTCATAGATACATGTATGCAGACTATTTACAAGTATGCAATGTATTCTATATATCCATATACTACAAGTATATACTATGCATAATATATACAGTATGTGTCTGCATAAAAAGAAACACATACACAATCATGTTACCCATTTCTTTCAGGAATTAGAAAAATCGATGTATGCACAGAATCAGGCTATAAAGGGACTCCCAAAGCACACATCATGAAACCTTTGTTTCATGAAGAAAATTATCGAAATATTTTATAAAAGTACCTTTGGGATATGTGTATATAGTATGTACAAATCACCCAAAAATAAATGCCCTTCCTCCTTAGACTCTAACCCCACAAAGGAGACTTCATTATTTATATGCAGATATTCCACTCTAAAATCTGGTTCCACACCCTTCAGATAAGAGATATAGAACCTGTGATTGGTAGAGCTCTACCTGAAGGTTAAGGCTGTCCCCGGTGAAGCCAGAACTTTCCATTCTCTACAGTGGTGATTTGCCAGCATCTAAAGCACACCCTGGGTGAAATGCTGATAACCTCGACAATGGGTACCCAAGATGTGCAGAAACCAGTTCCATCAGCTTCTAGTAAATCAAACAAAAAGAAATGAACATCAACAACAGCATGTTTACTGATCACAGGGACAACTGGATTGGGAGGGATGACAATCTGTTCCTTTCTTCAAATACTTTAAGGCCCTCTGTCAAAGAAAATCAGTTTGTCTGCCAGATGACATCTCAATTTCCCAAACTCATTAGCAGCTGATGCACAGAAAGGGTTACCTGGTGTTTAATAATTTTGACCTGAGTCTTGTCAAAGCCACTTAAAAAGAAAAACTGCCAGTTGTTGAATGAAAGAAAGAAAGAAAGAAAGAAAGGAGAGAGAGAGAGAGAGAGAGAGAGAGAGAGAGAGAGAGAAAGGCTAATCTAATTTGTGCACTAACTCCAAGCAAACAAGGAGTCAATAACTAGAAACATGTTATAGACAGTCTAATAATCAGTAATAATCAGTACAGATGACAAAAGAAGTTAAACACTGAAGAGACTTCACAAACTGTTCAAATGTGCCCTGTTGGAAACCACAGGCAGTAATATAGTGCCTGGAAACCAAGTACTTAATATAGTTAAGTACGTCCCCCCCCAAAAAATAACAGATTTTAAATTATAGAACTCAGGTTCAGTAAGCAGGTAATGAGATGGTCTTCAAGAAGGCCCAATGTCTGGGAAGGCAGGGGTGTAACGATAACTCTTTCCACCAGCTGCCTGAGTTCTGTCGCCTCTTTAGGGCCCCCAAATAACATACAGAAACTTTTATTGTTTACAATGCTGCTAGCCAATGACTAGGATTTCTTATTTGCTAGCTCTGTCTTAAGTATAAACCATAACCATTAATCTATGTATTTTTATGAGGACTTCTATCGAGGACGCCAGCCTCATGTATGCTTTCTTCCCATGATCATATGGCAACTCACTCTCTTTAGTACATTTCCCAGAACCCTCCTTGACTCCTAATCCCACCATTCTTGCTTCCCTATTGGCCAACAGTGCTTTATTTATTAACCAATAAGACAAACATATACATAGAAGGACTTCCCCTATCACAGGGGAATCAACTGCTAGGGAGTAGTGAAGGTAGACTTTCAGGCACTAACAAGTCCCATGTTAGGAAACCACTAATCTACATTTCTGTTATATTGCTTTTATGATGCAAGAGAACACTAAGACTAAAATTCAAATTATTAATTAATAAAGTAATAGTTGAGTAATTCTCTCCTTATCATTCCCATTGCAGCCATGGGAGTAATGTTTACTATCCCCCCCCCCCACAACAGAGAGTTCTATTTTGAGGAATTCCTTATATTTCTTGGTGGTCACAACCTTTGGCATTCCATCTCAGATTAGGTCTCACCCCATTGAGGCTATCTGGGAATGGCAATGGAAAGTAGAGAAGAATCACAAAGAGCCCTAGAGTCTGACTCTTTCCCTACTGCCTCAGAAGGCATCTTCTAGATCTTTATCTCCTTTATCAGAGTAAAGTCATCCTCTGGGTCTCACTAAGCTCAATTCCCACATCAAGAAAGTTTGAAATCTTATCCAGTGCCAAAGATCTCTCCTCCTACACCACAGCTTGACCTTTTCTGTTGGGTTACCCATCTGTCATCCATTTTTGCTTCTACAGGATGAATCAGCAGGATATCAGCCTTCTATTTCAAATGAATAAATGGTACACTTCACTTTCCATTAGTGGCTACTAGTATCTTCTACTTGACTTTAAACAGGAATTACAGATCTTTAAAACTTTTTATTTTACTGGTCAACCTAATCAAGAAACTGGGAAAATGCTAGAAGAGCAAGGATAAGAAATGGTTAGATTGGTGATCTTAATCCTAGCAAGACACTAAGCAGGTGAGTTTCCTGGTTCCTACACTATCCCTGAAGACAGGTAAAGTTGACATGCAAAAACTTTTTTTCCTGAATGTCTTTTCATTTCCAGACTTTCAAATTTCTGCTGTGACCCTGTTATAAAATAATGCACATTTTAAAACTACATAAGAATAACTACAAAGAATTTCCTTCCTCTGATGGCTGAGAGGCCAGCATGTGACTGATCCAGACTCCCTGAATGTGGGTGTCAGTAAGGAGGCCTAATCTATGGGGCCTTGGGTAGTAGATCAGTATTTATCCTTGGCACAGGAATGGACTTTGGGAGCACCTTCCACATGGAGGGATGCTCTCTCAGCCTGGACACATGGGGGAAGACCTAGGCCCTGCCTGGGATGATAGGAGAGACTTTGGAGATTCCCTCATGGAGGTCCTCAACCTCCCTGCAGAGCTGAGGGGGGATGGGATAGGGCTTCAGGAGGGGTTGGGGGAGGAGGGAGGGAGAGGGAGTTGGGATTGATATGTGAGGCAACCTTGTTACTAATTTAAATAATTTTTTTAAAAAGACACTGAAAAAAGAATTTGGGAAGGTGGAAGGAGAGGAGAACTCACGTACCAGCCATCTTAACTATCTAGAAGGCTCAGTCTTTAGCTACAAACATAGTGCCCTTAGCCAGAACTGCTCTCAGAATTGAGAAGCAATGAAAGTCAGAGGAGTCAGTTAAGACACAGATCAGAATTCCAATTCCAAATGGCTTTGGGCAAATTCATAAACTCTCTAGTTTTATCTTCTGCCCACCAACCACAGACCCGACTGCCCAATGTAGAACAACTCTGAGAGCAACTGGTAACGCTAACTACATAAAATGAAGCCAAAATATACAAGAAGCTGGCCACAGACAACACAACTCCCTGTCTGCCTCAAGGTGGCATGGGTCTCTGAGTCAACTAACAACCTTTGCTCATCCTAGTCTGAGAGAATTGTTTTTTTACAAGGTTTGGAGTCTTTGCAAACTGCATAATCTGACAGAAACCACTTACACCTAAACCTCAATTTCTTCACCTAAAAAGTAGATAAGCAACAGAGCCAAATTACAGGGCTGCTAAAAACTCATCAAAGAATGACGGCCTCAGCAGTTGGTATAGAATACAATACATGGTGTACCATCAGTATTTTCCCCTATCCATCAGCCACAATTAGCAAGGCTACATAGTACATTTCCATTTAGAGTTAACCGATTTGATCACCACAGTAACCACAGCTACATATGCATTAAATGAATTGCTTATATAGAGTTTTTGTTTTATGTTGTTTTTTTTTCTATTTTTCTTTTATTAAAAAGGTTTCCTTTCATACAATATACTTTGATTATGGTTTTCCCTCCCCTAACTCCTCCCAGATACTTCCCCAAATTACCTCTCATCCAAAACCACACCCTTTCTTTCTCTCTCCTTAGAAAACAGGCATCTAAAAAACAATAATGAACTAAAACAAAAACAAACAAACCAGAATAGGACAAAACAATCAAAAGTAAAAGAATCAGAGAAAAGGTACAAGAAACATATAGATGCAGAGACTCACACATTCACACACAGAGAAATTCCATAAAAACACAAAACCAGAAACCATACCAAAGGACCTGTACAGGTTTAAATAACAAACAAATAAAAAGCCCTGGCAAAGAATTATGACACAAAAAAAATGACACTGGGTTTGTTTTGCATTATCCATCTACTGCTGGGCATGGGGCCTGCCCTTAACAGTGGTTTGTATACCCAGTGAGACTCCATTGGAGAAACCTAAATTTTCATTTACAAGAATTTATCAATTGGAGATCGCTTCTGGGTTAGGGGTGGAGGCCTGTGTCTACTTCTCCTCTCAGTGCTGGAGCACCATCTGGCACAGTCCCTGTGCACAAGACCACACACATTCTTTGGGAATTTATATGTGCATCAGTACCTACTGTACTTAGAAGGCCTTATGTTCTTGGTATTCTCCATATCCTCTAGCTCTTGAATTCTTTCTGCCTACCCTTCTACAGGATTCTTTAAACTACGGCAGGACAGGGGAAGATTTGATAGAGATAGCCCATTAGGAATGAGTATTCCATGGTCTCTTCTTCTCTGCACATTGTCTGGCTTTGAGTCTCTGTATTTGTTTCCATCTACTGCATGAGGAAGCTTCTCTAATGAAGGCTGAGCAAGGCACTGGATTACAGCAGCCCTTTAGCATAACAGTATTTGGTTTGCTCCTAGGTCCCTGGTCTATGTAATCTCAGGTTCTTGGCTACCAGAGTAGATGGGTTCCATATCATAGAGTGGTCCTTAAATCTGGTCAAACACTGGCTGTTTACTGCCACAAGATTGGTGCAAATATTGCAATAGTGAATCTTTCAGGCAGGTCACCTTTGTAGCTCAAAGGATTTGTAGCTGCATTGGTACTTATCATTTCTCCTTTGGTATTGTGTATAGAACCATCCAGCACCATGAACATTAGTTAATAGGAATGAAGGCTTTAAGTAGGCACCAAGTCAACTTCTTGTTCATTGAGTTGTATAGGTATTATCTTCAGCAACAGGTCCTTACCATCAGTTTATGAATAGTAACCAACAGCCTTAGCTATTTGAGGGGGTCCCATAGGGTCCCTTTGGCCAACAATTCAATTTGATATGTCATTCCCAGAACTGGAGACTTCATTTGGGAATGAAAGATGTCTTCATCACCGTTGTTATTTGGCAATTCCATTTAGATCTTTTTCATACATGTGTGTTTTAGGAAGCTTCTACTACATTAGATTTCTTTCTTTTTATATAAAACATCATTATTTATTGATTCTTTGGGAATTTCACATTTTGCACCCTAATACCACTCACTTCCTAGTCTCTTCATAGTCTCCCCCCACAAAAATCAATTAAAAAACAAGACAAACAAAAAACTACCTTGATCCTCCAACTTTCCAACACTTCTTCATTCATCCTAGTGGCATTGGGAGCTGGGGTGTTTGACACAGCATATCCTTTCATTCTAACAGCCCCACCCGCAAAATGTTCATTGCAATGAGTCATGGGTCTGGTTCAAGCCCACTGACACACCATCATCACTAGACCCTCATTGAAACTCTTCTTGGATATCTTGCCCATATTAGATTTCTACACAACACTTCAAATGGCCCTTAGTTTTAGCTGCCACTCCCAATGTTTTCT